AATTCAATGATGTAAGACCCCCCAGCATTAATTTTGTTCTGATCTCAACATAAAAAGGGTGGTGGAAGACAGAGTGAAGTAACATCTACCACCTGAATGGCACTTCAAGAATAGAGATGCTGTTCAACATCCCTCTTCAAGATTTGCTGAATGCATGATCTGCAGGAGAAAACGTGTTAAACCTTAGTCATTTTAACCAGCACAATACTTTGGCCACCTAATGAGAAGGAGGGACTCACAGGAGAAGAGCCTAATGCTGGGAAAGATTGAGGGCAAAAGAAGAAGAGGACGACAGAGAATGAGGTGGCTGGATGGAGTTACCGAACAGTCGGTGTGAGCTTAAATGGACTCCAGAGGATGGTAGAGGACAGGAAGGCCTGGAGGAATGTTGTCCATGGGATCATGATGGGTCAGACACGACTTCACAACTAACAACAACAAAAAGGGAGGAATCTAGTATCTTGATGACTATGTTGAAGAAAAGATAAAAATTCCGTGCCTGCTGTTTTTGACTAGCCTACTTTGAGAGAGGACAAAACCATCACATTTCTCTTACAGGTCAGGGCCTGGAATTAGGAGCGGAGGGTGTAGGTGAGACAAGGATTTCCTTCACTAAGGAAACAAGCACAGCATTTCAAAACAAGCAAACAAAATTCTAGCTTAAATTTGTTTTATCTACAATACTTGTTGTTATTGTTGGAACGTGTCGTTCCAGATTCCTTTCAAACTAATGTAAAATCTTCAGGCAGGAATGCCCCCTATTTTCCATTCTGCTTAGCCTAGATTCAGTGATTTAATGGGAAATATTTGCTCCCCCCCCTCCCCGATCCATTAGTGAGATGTAAATACCTTCCTGGACCTTTCTAGATTCCCCAGAGTTCAAGAGACTGTGTTTGCTGCTCAACAAGGAATGAATATAGGATTGGAACAAAATGCAAAGTTTTTCTCCTGGGAGTTTATTCTGTTACTCATTTAATAGATCGGCCAAATGACTAAGGTTAAGAAATGATTGTATCCTGTGCAACTCCTGGGTGAACCAAGATGCACAGATCTCTTCAAAAAAGTCAAAATGGTGACTACGATTGCACAATCAAAGCCCTTTTTAATGTTTATTGCACATGTGGCAATAAAGGGGCAGGGCTTGGAGTATACAATCACACCTGTCATTGTGACTTTTTTGACCCAGTTAACAAGGGAAGAACACTTGGTGCCATCTTGCTTCATTGTTCTTTGTTCCTACATTTATCAAATGTATTTCTCAGTCCTCTAACGTTCCATAAAGTGTTTATTGATGTGTGTTATTATTACATTTCAAATTATTGTTCTTTCAGAATATTTGCCAGACCTTGTGGTGCTTTGTGAAGGGTTCTTGCCGTTCCAAACTGGATGCCGCAGCAGATGGGACAAGATGTGGGGAGAATAAGGTGATGAGGGAGTCAAGCTCTACTCCAAAGCACCTGAGGGCAGGACAAGAAGCAATGGGTGGAAACTAACCAAGGAGAGAAGCAACCTAGAACTAAGGAGAAATTTCCTGACAGTCAGAACAATTAATCAGTGTAATAACTTAGCTCCAGAACTTGTGAATGCTCCAACACATTATTTCCTATCTACAGTATGTCCAAGGGAAATAAAACAAAACTGCATTCAGTTTTGGTTGCCACGATGTAGAAAAGATGTGGAGGCTCTAGAAAGAGTGCAGAGAAGAGCAACAAAGATGATTAGGGGACTGGAANTACAGGAACTGGGCATGGCTAGTCTAGTGAAGAGAAGGACCAGGGGAGACATCATAGCAGTGTTCCAATATTTGAGGGGCTTCCACAGAGAAGAAGGGTTCAAGCTATTTTCCAAAGCACCTGAAGGATAATGGATGGAATAATGGATGGAAACTGAACAAGGAGAGATTCAACCTAGAAATAAGTAGAAATTTTCTGACAGTGAGAACAATCAACCAATGGAGCAGCTTGCCTTCAGAAGTTGTGGGAGCCTCTGGAGGCTTTCAAGGAGATATTGGAATAACGTTTGTCAGAAATGGTGTAGGGTGTCCTGCTTGGACAGGAGGTTGGACTAGATGACCTACAAGGCCCCTTCCTACTCTGTTAATCTGTAAGTCTGTTTCTCAGCCTCAGCAACATTAAAATGTGAAGACTTCAACTGCCAGAATTCACAGGCGAACTTTGCTGTAGCCTAAATGGAAAATCACAAGGGTGACTCACTCAGGAAAACTTGTTTGCCATTTATAATCATTTGCTTCCTACAAGAGATTTTCTGTGGTGTTCTGCAATAATAGAAAAGCATCAAACCAAAATTAAAACCCAGTGGAAGACATATTTATTACTGTTATTATTATGTGATTTATTCACACAGTTCTAAAATCTGAAACTACTTTAGAATATACAGGAAATAGTTTTTTTGTGTGAAAGATGCTTAATAAATCAGCATAGCAGATTAGTGAAGGCAGAAAGCAATTTCCTCAACTTGGCAAAATATTAGAACTAAATAAATAGCAAAGTAACAACAACTGTGCAATGAGCAAAGAATTCTTAACATTTGTATGCACAGTGGAAAACAAAACATTGTGATAGTAGAAATTACTGACATAGGATCAGCAATTTCTATTTCAAGATGTTTTGTTTATATGTATGTAATATAACATTTATTAGAAAGTGATTGATAGCAATTGAAATAGGCTAGTATCAATTCTTTTCTATTTCATCTTATTTCAGTAGAGATGAGGTCTATCATACTGGATTATTACACCACAATTAGCTGAGGTCTAGACAGTATACTAAAAAATAGAGACATCACCCTGCTAACTAAAGTGTGTATAGTCAAGGCTATGGTTTTCTCAGTTGCAATGTATGGCTGTGAAAGTTGGACCATAAGAAAGGCTGAGCGCCAAGAATGGAGGCCTTTGGACTATGGTGCTGGAGAAAACTCTTGCGAGCCATTTGGACTGCAAGGTGATAAACCTGTCAGTCCTAGAGGAGATCAACCCTGACTGCTCTTTAGAAGGCCAGATCCTGAAGGTGAAACTCAAATACTTTGGCCACCTAATGAGAAGGANAGGTGGAGTTTGATTTAGTTCAAATCTCAACTATTTAACCATCATGTAAAATGAGTGTATTGGAAAATATTTCAAAATCTTTTCTCACCAATCTTTTCGGATAATTTAAAAAAAACGGGAAAAAGGCATATGAAGAAAAAATTGAAAAAGAGGACATTTGTTTTCTGCCTAGAGTTTTTCGGTGCATTTAGCTCCAAATGTGATTCTGAGCCTTGAGCTGACAGCCAGCTGATGGGGGATTTTCCCATTAACCCTACTGACTTGAAATGTTAGCCTCAAGTCATGGAAAGCATTCCCTTGATGTCACAGACTGCAGTACAAAACTGGCTGTGACAATTACATTATCTGTTTCTTTGTGCCTTTTAGCTACTGCCTTATTTCCTCACACACTCCAGCTGTACGGAATAGCTCTGCTGGTAATATAATAGCAATAAAATAAAATTACATGTTAAAGCTTCCATTAAGTGATATGACATTCCAAAATCCTACTATTAAATAATAAGAAAAATATGCTATCTTTACGTACCAATGTCAGCCCTTCCAAGACTAGGTCACCAGAGTTATAAATGAGAGGAAAAAAATGTTAATATTACTTTATTAAAAGGTTATTGTGACATAATCTTCAAATTATGAATGTTCTTCCTCCCTCCATTTATCTTTATCTTCATGAGATCCAGAGAGGGTCATATCTGAGACACTTACTCAAATTATACTTTTGTCCCAGATCCAGATTACTTTTATCTAATTGTTCTCTTGGTTGCAGCTCTTCCTCTGGTCCATAACATTACTCCTATTGCCCTTTACAACTGTAAACACACGCCCACATGCATATCTCCACACAAGGGGATGACTATGGCTCTTGAGTTTGTCCCCAAAGGCCTTCTATAAGAGTCAAAGGGAGGAGAATAGTAACCATTCTTGTCTCAGGAGTGGGTCTGTCCCCAAGAATGCCCAACGTTGGGCTCTCTCCCACCACATTTGCTGGTGGTGGGAGCCATTAGTTAGTGCTATATGGCCATCTGGATTGGATGGGCAGAGGCTATTTGGAAAAGATGGTCTCTTAGAAATCCGGGTCTTGAGTCATATAGGTCTTTGAAGATAGCAGCTAGGCTACAACAAAATTGAATTGTACTTGCAATACACTAGTCTCCAGGTCAGGTCCAACAGCAGTGATGTAATAAGGTAGTACCAAGATTGAGGGTAAGTAGGTGGGTCACTGCCAATTAAATATGAGCCAATAGTGTGTGGCGGCAGCCAAAAAAGCCAATGCAGTCCTAAATTGCATTAACAGAGGGATACAATCAAGATCAA